TTACACGACGCCACAATTGTTTTTTTTTAAATATTGCTGGCGCTACGATAGACGCTGAGCATATTTCGAAAATAAATTTTGTTATGTACCAGTCGACAAAACTAAATATAAATAATAATCAGAAAGGTAATACTAAATTAGGTTTATTAAAGCACAGCCAAAACGTGTTGTATCTTATATATATGAAAACTTTATCTATATACTTTATATTTAGGTATATTTTTATAATATTTTAGATATATTTTTATTCAAAACAGTTGACTCTTTGGTCCGCGATTTAAGCAAAAGGCATAGAATACATTTAATGATAACTAAACTGAATAAATATATACTTATTACATGTCACAAAAAAATACTTATTTTAATCGAAAATACCGGCAACCGCAGCGTAAAATGCGTGTCGAATGTGGCAAATCCAAAACAATTGGAGGGGTCTTATGTCCACTGGGCTGATAAGCACCGGCAAGTCAAAGAACAATAATGTTGGTTATTATAAAGAAGTGTTGTCTAGTGAAGATGGTTAAAATAAGATTCTTTTCCAACATAGAAGAGGCCTGAAACAACACGTTGACCTCTCCATTCTAGAGTTAAATGAGCTATTATGGTTAATAACAAATAAAGTTCAGAAACACAGGGAGGTAAGTATGTATTTTTGTTATATATATATATATATATATATATATTATATTTATTAATATTATCAATTAGAGAGATTATTCTGTTTTTTCTTTCATTGGTTCTAATCCCAATACAGGTATACTATGTTACCCAATTTTATCTTTAACCTATAAGCGTTTTATTAATGCAATTTCTCCTATCAACATTAGATTTATTTTACACAAAAACAAAATGACAGTTGAGATTAGAAAATAATTAATTCAGTCATATTTTCATCAATTCCACATAAACTCATTTGCTGGTAAGGTCACTTTCACAAAAACAATCTAAGAATTAATTTGGATATTTTAAGAGGAACGAAAAGTGTTCTATATTATTAATTACCTATCAACATGGTACCTACGCTTATGAAATATGTTTTTTTTTAATAAAAAATAAGCACAAAATAAACACATTTAGTATATTATTAACATATTATAATAAAATCCGATAATTATAATAAACTAATTTAGGGGTCTAATAACAAAGGCGGCAACGTCCCATATAATGATATGGGACTTAGGTCTTATTATAATCTATTAAAGAAGAGGCAACCGCATATGGTTCACCAGAGTGTAAGTAATTACCGTTACACAAGAACAATCGGCAACACCAGAGAAATTTGAGGTGCTTTTAGAGAGAAGTAGACTCTTTTCTTGAAGTTTCATAAGTTGTATTAATCCAGAAAAAGCTCTGGCGACAGTAAATTCAATAATGAGGTTGCGCATTGGAGAAAATTCCTTGTAAAACGATAGTAGACTGCCAACTATCGAGATTATGTGTATGATATTTCAGTTCCGTATCAGTGTACATCATCACATTGCATCATAGAAACTAAGCTGTAGTTCGGAAACACTGAAGTTCGCAGTAACCGTTAATTTACCCAAATTCAATAACGAACAATAAAGATCTGTGACTAAAATGAAATAATTAACAGTTGTGGCAAGAAATTTTATACTGTATTATGTAATCCAGTTACCAATAATTAGTATAGTAATCACAGGAATACAAAATAAACTATTATACTTAACCATAAACCATATACTATTTCAATACAATTTCTATGTCAAAATGTAAACAATTTTGATGGCCACATAATGAACTATATTTAAACAAGAAAAAAACAAATGCAACATTTTTAGTAACTACAAGACTACAAACCTTATAAGTGCCTAAGTGTAATTTTATGACTTGCAGTGCTTATGTTATTAACTTTTTTTAAATACCATTATTTTCACTGTAAAAGAAATTACCTAAACTATCGGCTTCTTGAAGCTTGATTCCTGCCGCCCGGTCAGTTTCGCTTCGGCCTTTGAAGTGGGAGGTTGTGTCGCTTACGATCAGAATACACATTAAGCAACAGGACGACGTAAAATTAAAATGGGAAATAACCGTAATAAAAATAGGAAGCGACTAGGTTGGCGTTAAGGAACAGGCGTAAATATTATAAACCTTATGAAATAAGTATCTAACAATTAGACAAAACGAAAAAGTTTTTTTAGAAGGTACTTTCATTTTCGAGTGAGACATGCAAGACGTGTAATTCAGGTATCCGTTCTTTTTTGTTAATGTTTTTTGCTAAGGACAGTGGTCTTGTGAAGGGCTGTAACGATGATGATGGTAATGTAAACTTTGTGTTAGAATTTATCGAAGACATTTTTTTTAAATATTCGTCTATTTTGCATATGTGCTAATTTATTTAATATAAAATTTATTATTATAGTCGCTCCTCAATGTATGAATATCGAAGCCACAATAACAGGTGGTACGGATTGCGGTACAGTTCAGTTGAACATAGTGAGTGTTCGGAACGCCAAATCTAGTGCGTAGTATATATATATATATATATATATATATATATATATATATATATATATATATATATATATATATATATATATATATATATATATATATATATATATATGCTTATGTGACCCAAAATATATTAAGATATATTTTGGGTCACATAATCCATATTATAGTTAATGTTTATAGTCTTCATTTTCAAAATACAATTTATTTTACATTTGACTGAATTTAAGGTGGAATTTACAAAAAATATTTAAAACAAAATATTAGGTATACATTATATATAAAACAAATAATTGACACAGACTAATAATATATCGACTAATACATAATTGGGTCTATAAGTGCAGTGTGTTATGTACCTCCGATAGGAATCGTTGCCGGTGTGAATTACTCTACAACTGTGCTCTAACTTGTTTTTTTTTATTATAAGATTTTGTGACCTAAAGTAAGTTACCAACATGAAATATAGTATAGCCGATAATATATTAACATAATACAATGAACTTCAAACGTCCAAAGCGAAACCAAACGATTACCAGTAAAGTTGCATAATCGCCCTTCAGCTTGACTTGTAAGAGCGTCTGTGTTAACAGTCTGTTTACTTTATCGAAAATAGGGTAATTTTACACCATGTAAAAAAATCGTATTTATGATAGGTTTGCTGTGTGTTATTTCATTTTTTTTAAAGTTATCATCACTATTAATGACTTTTCTTCCCTATTTTATTGAAATGTCATCATGGAAGATGGATTCGTAAGAGCAGAAAAAAATTGATGGACCATCAATGTATTTATCCTTGGTTTGAGTTAAGAATGTTGAAACATCAATGTACATAAGTACCTATTACCAGCTTTTATTTATACAATATCACAATACCAGATCAGAGTGTATTTTGATAATACATAGGTAGTAGTTTATCTATGATTACAATCTCACACCTAAGCGGTTACAAAATTTGACTTGCTATATCTATCACCTCATGATGTCTTGTTTTGCATAAACGATAGTTAAATATTAGTCATACTTATATCAAAGTGATCTTCACATAAGTTCGGAACAGTGTCGGTTTTTCTGCACAAATCCAAGGCGCTCGCCTGCGCTCGGCTAGACGCGTCCACATGTTACCCTGGCAATACGTATTGGTCAAGCAGCAGCCAACGCGAGCGTAGACAGATTGATACAAGGCAAGTGCTACAGTCTACACGTTGGTCAAATCCGAAAGAAACCAATGCGATGGCCAATGTTCACGAGTTTTTGTACAGGTGTCCACATGTTGGCCGTAATTAGTAGTCATTGAGAAATGTTCATCGTACTCAATTAATACAAAATAAGAAAATAAACTAACAAAAAATACTTGTTTTAATGTGATCATCTAGCATGACCTACCGTTTTCTTATATTTTGTGGGTAAAGGCCTAGTGATGGTAGCACTGAAAGCTAAATTTTTGTGTGCGTTTGAAGAGTGTAGATACATTCAACTCACGCACAATAAGGTAATGAAATTGCCTCACGATAAAGCTCGTGTTTGTTTTAGATTTAATTTCTATGTGCAATAGTCCTTAATGTTAATTGTTTAATATTAACAAAGCGGCAATGCTGTTGATTTCTTTTTTGGAAAAGTTAGCGTGTTCTAAAAATGTATAACAAACTTGACAGACAATTACAATTTGAGCTTTGTAAACTACTCTTAATAGATTATAATTTGAAATATCAACGCTTAAATCGAATTTACGCGATAGACATAACGAATAGCTAAATCTATGGCACAACTTCTATAAAGCAACTTTAATAGTGATATAATATGTTCTGATATATCACAACGTACGATTGTTGGTGGCGTGTAAATGAATTAACTACATCTATGGTGATTTGCCTAGGACATATAAAATTTTGTTACGTATTTTACTACCTTACCTCATAGAGCAATCACTTAAATAATTAATTATCATATAAATTGGACTGCTTTAAGATTTGAAATAGATTTCTTCAAAATGTTACTTTCCGATGTGGGCTTTTACGATCCGACCGAGTAATTATAATTTGTTGGGTAATTGTGATTGTCCATCGCATACAATTCATAATAATCTCTAATTGTCAATCGATATTGATCCCTCTATAGTTTATTATCAGTAATTTGTGAATCAACAATAAATTAGTTTTAAATTTCATGTTTTAAAGGCCATCCGATGACGAAACATTTGGAACCTATTTCAAAACTTGTAAAAAACACAACGCCTTCATATATCTTTCCTATCTTTACGTCAAGAGAAAGCCGCAATCATAGTTTTTGATTATTTCGCTTATATCTATTTTATTGAGTTATTATATATCATTACTTTAACAATTTTAATCACAATTTCTTAATAAATATTGAAATTCATCAAAATATCTTGTTAAGTATCATGGGTAGCTTGCCTTCATTTATACGTAGGAACGTAGCTATAGTGATGTAAGGAATACAAAATATAGATGCTATAAATTGTCCTTTTTATATAAAGCAACTCGCAGCACTTAAACTAAGAGGCAGCATTAAGAGAAGGCCTTGTAGTGAATGAAGAAGAAGATAAGAAATACCGCGTAGGCAGTAGGAAAAGTGATGCGGGCAATGACGTCGATCGTCTTCGCCACGCGGATCGGATGCGGAGGTTCTTTTTTGCGGACCTGGACGAAACATGGCTGAAAGAAATTAATTTGCAAATGAACGATGACGGCAAAATAAAAAATAATATTTATTTAATATATTTTTTACTACTGAACACCTATAATTTAAAAATTAACGCAAAAAGTACAATTGAGAATTATGTGAGTGGAATATGTTTATCACTTTACTCTTGTTTATATTACTAAAAAACTCATCGTAATAAGCCGATGATATTGAAAATGAAGGGTTTTATTGTGACAAATAAGCTTGTTTGGGTGTCATTTGGTGGTGGTAGTGTGAACTGTAATTGCTCCTCTACACGATGGGCCAACGCTGGCCCAGCGAAATGGCCATGCGATGGTTGAAACGCAACTACACGATGGCGACATTCAGTTTCAGTTATGATCGAAACGTTTTTCGAGATGGACGTGGATGAATTTAGCCGCTGTGGCAATATATATGTACAACACGTACCGTTTTTTTCTCAATGTGCACAAGAATAGAGTTGTCAAAAAGAAATAGCGTAGAAGAAGATGGTGGATGTTATCTATCCATCGCAATAGATCTATATACAGAATGGGTCCCACATATATGCAATAAATGAAACCACAAGTAATACTAGTCCGTAGAAGTGTAGAAAAATTAAATATTAAATTAAAACCCGTAAAATAAAAAAGTGAAATTTTCAAACAAAATAAATATTAAAATAAATTCAGTAAAAGTGAACACTCTGTTTAGACAACGTACCTTGACCCCTTGGAAGAGTGACAACGTTGCACGCGGGTGGCACGCCGACAAAAGACACCGCTGTCGATATGTCGCAATACCAATAGTTTGCACTGCGTCGCAACGTCGCTTTTTAATGTTCAAGGATTCAAGTTCATTGAATCATTGACATAGTGACCCAATTCTATCAGTGTGAATGTTCAAATTTGCTTAAAATTAAAACTCTACTTTTTGAACTAATTACTGGACCGATTACGTTCATTTTTTGTATATCGTCAGCAAAGGCGATAACAAGTATATGGTTTCATTTATTGCATATATGTGGAACCCATTCTGTATATCATAAGTCAATTTAGTTTTCTTTAAACACAAATAATTAAATAATTATAATTAACAATTTAATAAATAATTATTCAAAATAAATAAATAACAAATTATGTATATATTCTGATTTTGGTAGCTCTATGATTAAAATTTTATAACTTCATTATGAGGCCACATATTCGACATTTTTAATTAGTTAATTAATAAACAAAACATGAACGTCCACACTCAACCGTCGAGCGCTCAAATATGTGGAATGGGCCACGTGTAGATGCGTACCGCCATCGCTGGCCTACTACCTTTGATGTGCGGCGGAAAAACCGACACCGTCGCCATCCCCAAGACCATCGCACGCGCCATAAGCCATTCGATACAACTACGCCCTCCACACGTTGGCCCATTATAGTGGGCCATCGCGATGGCCCATCGTGTAGAGGGGCTATAAAATATATTTACCTCAGCTACACCACCGTTGTTCGCAGAGTGCGTGCAGGAACCAGGAGCCCCTGTACACGTTGCGCACGAAACTAAGTCGGCAGCACCCGTCGACTCGCGTTTTTTGTCTCCCTGGGATAATGACTATACTAGAATGTATTTATCTGATGTTTATTTAGTAAAAAAAATCAAGTATGTTTCTACGGGTATAAATAAAATTTTTAACGATCATTAACAATTTTATCATGCTTGATGAGGGTTTAGTATTTAATAATTGAGTTTCAAAAAATTAAATAATTTACATTGTATTGTAATGTTGGGTTTAAATGCAAATGAAAATCATATACTATGCTACTTACGGGCTGTGACGATCCGAAGAGGCATTGAAATGAAAATGATGCGTTAGTTTTTTTTTGCGATATAGGAATATAAATGATAATGCTGGTGGCGAATGTCTAAGTCGATTGTTGTCAGTGACATCACTTACAGCACCACCGGGCTCCGGTGCGGGCGATTCGGATTTTGCCCAATGGAGGAATTCCATCGCCTCCTATTTAATGAAAATATTGGTATACAGGCGAAGCAAATACTTAAGCGTAGGTGTATTTATTTTTTAGTAATTAGCAAAAACTGCTAATTACTACAAAACGATACAACGGTAATGTTGCATAATGTATCATTATCGTTATGCAACATTACATGCATAAGTCTTATTTAGGGTGTATATTTACTACGTTTATTGGGTCGACTAAAATATATATAATTAGTATGAGTTATATTAATGTACTACATTGCAACTGGTAGTTAAAGCTACGAACTATTTTAAATACGACAAAATAAAAATACATTTTTAGAGATTGTATTTTGTACAGTGGTACCACTTTACTAATTTTAATATTTTGTGATATAAAATGTGTGATTGATTAGTCTGAAGTTTGAATCTTCTCGGAATTTCGCAGTCATACAAGAAATTACGCGAGGTTCGATCCAACCGTTCACGGTGTGTTCTAAAAATAATTCTCATGTGTATTGCAGCCCGAATTTTTTTTATAGGATAAGGCTGACAAACAAGCACACAGTTCACCTGATGGTAAGTGGTTGAACTGGCCCATAGACTACATCTATGCTCGATTACGAATCAAAATGCAGATGCGTTGTCAACCGTGAGGAATAAGATGGAATGCCTCGTTTCTAGTAAAATTGGGTGCCTGGTTCTCTACACTCACCATACGAAACACAGCAGCGTTGAGCTGCTATCTAACGTTGGTATACTGTGGAAGCGTGGTACTTCCCCGGTCGAGTCGACTCATTCGTGCTACTACCATACTACTAATATAGCTGCGGCATGGCTTTGCCACGTAAAAAACAGAGTACAGGGTTATTATAATATTTTTTTTAAAGTACATCCCTTATTTTAACACTTTTAGACAACACGAAAGCTGGCAATATCTAAGTATTTTTCAATTATTGAGTGGTAATACTGTACAACATCAAGGTATTTCAGATTGCAATTTATGATAAATTAGTTTACATTACATTGCCCATTGTAACTAAGACCAATTTTGGACGCATCAAGAAAAGCTACAGAATGCACAACTTTACTTGAGAGTTAAGAATTAATTCTACTTGAAAATTAAGAAGTTCGTGCTAAATTAACTTTCGTAGTATTGTCCAATAGAAATAGTACTATAGTTTTTTAAAGAAAGAACGCTATAAAACGCTGGGTATAATTTTGAGGTTTCCGGACATAGGCTGTACAAGTACAACACAACAAGTGTGTGTCTCCTGAAATAGTCATCTAGAAAATGTATTTAAAAACACATGTATAATATGTAAAACATATTTATAAAACAGATCGCCTGACGCGTCACTCCAAATTTTCTCTGTTTCATTTATTTCTAACTCTATTTTTAATAGTATAATAGTAAACTACCTAATATGTTAATCATCATCATCATCATCATTACAGCCCTTCACAAGTCCATTGCTGAACATAGGCCTCCCCCAAGGAATGCCAAAAAGCACGGTCCTGAGCCACCTGCATCCATCGACTTCCTGCATGTCTTACCAGGTCGTCACTCCATCTAGTGGGGGGTCGCCCTACACTACGCCTACCGGTACGAGGCTGCCACTCGAGAACCTTTCTTCCCCATCGGTTATCGGTTCTTCGAGCTATATGGCCGGCCCATTGCCACTTCAGTTAATATGTTAATAGCATTCTAAAATTGTAGAAAAATGACTTAATTACCTTTGGTCTCAGTCAGTCTTATAAATCCAAGATATTGATAGCTGCTAATTATATAATTATAATTATAATGACATATTGCCTGATGCGAATTTGTTGTAACCATGATGGAATAAAAAAACCGGACGTGCGTATAGCACTCGCGCCTTGTGCATATAAACTTACGAGTAATTAAGTACCGTACATAAAATTATATATCTCGGGAATTATAGTAAGGTAAGCATCGAGCCATGTATGAGAATCACTCACCTTCACTCACCTTCAATTCGTCGACGATATAGTACTTATGGCAGAATTGCTGAAGCACTATTCTCAATGACCTCAATGGTGCCTCACAACGGATAGGTCTTAAAATAAACAGAACAAAACATGCCAGTGATGACTTATGGATCTGAGACGTGGTCCTTCACTACTGGTCGTTTGAGGAAGCTCATGGTTGCTCAGCGAGCAATGAAATGGGTGAAAGAGCAATTTATGCGCTAACTTGAAATGAAGATATCCACAGTAGAAGCACAACATAACCCAACGGATTAGCAAGCTGAAGTGGCAACGGGTCAGTGGCATATAGCTCGAAGCACCGAGAACCGATGAAGAAGAAAGGTTCGCGAGTGCAGCCTCGTACCGGTAGGTGAAGTGTAGGGCGGCTCCTACTAGATGTAGTAATGACCTGGTAAGGCATTCAGGAAGTCGATGGATGCCATGCTAATTTCTACAAATTTACTACTAATTTTCATAAAAATTTTTAGTGATATATTGTGATAATATTGAGCTAACGTTTAGTATTTTTCATTCAAATCAGTTAATTGATAATCCAAACATCCTTATTTTGACGATAACTAGAAATTTTAATACATTAGGTTAACCTGTTCAAAAATGTTCCCCTCGAAGTGACCTGTTCCACCCTCAAAGCTTTGCATCGACTTTCCAAACACTGTATATTGAGTGAATATGATCTCAATCGTTAAGAAGTGACACGATCACTAACAGAAATACGCATCGACGATTATGTATGTACACCTATAAACATTTCTAAACATTATAATTCATTGTAGTATTGTATTCTTGCCTGGTAATTTCATTTAAACGTTCCGGAATCGAGGTTTATAATATACATTGAAAATAACACACATAAGTAACTTATTTTCTAAGTAAATTTCGATCGGACAATACACATTTTTTGGGTAAATACTAAATAGGCGTGAAACAACATTATCGTACCTATAGTGACATATCTAAATTAAGTACTTATGTAAGAAATATTAATTAACTTAGAGTATGATATCAGTCACGGAACACAAAATAGACAATATCACCAAGAATTTATTTGTCATTAAATTTTTTCTTGATACATATAAAGTATATATCAAGAATAAATAAATATAACAATAAGACTATAATAATATAAAGCCTTATTACGGTCTCATTGTATTTTTTATTTGAGGCTTTGTGTTTTGTATTCCGTAATATTATAAGTTAAGCAAATTAAAAGTAGTATTATATTTTACTTAAACAAATGTTCTATAAACTTCTGTGAATGGTACTACTAGAAACTTATAAAAATGAATTTATTAAAATTCGCCTTTACTTGTATTATTTTTTACCAACAGCATGCGTACAAAAATGTGATTGTGTCGTGGTTGAAATGGTTATCTGTTATATTTCTTTATTATGTTTTACAACAACATTTTTAGACAATAATCTTTCGTATAATTGCGACGGATATCATAAATTATTTTAAATGTGATGTAATACGTATGTGACATAAAATAAAGTAAAGTAAAGTTACAACCAATATACGTCCCACGGCTGGGCATAGGCCTCCCCTCATTTCTGAGAGGGTTTTAGGGTAAGGAAGTGTCCGCCGCGCTGCCCCAATGCGTGTTGGCGAACTTGACATGTCTTCGAAATATTTTTTTCTTATTCCTCAGACATGCAGGTTTCCTCACAATGTTTTGCTTCACCGCCGAGCACGTGGTAAATCAGCACTTAAAATTGCAATTAACAATTTTGTTGGTGCCGGCGGAGATCAAACCCGGGTTACATACATATAACATATAACAACTTTTTCCAAATTTCATCCTCATGTGACATGGAAAACCTATTCTAAAATGTTGAAACGAAATTTCGGGTGATGGGAAACAACATTAACATGTATGGTGAGTATGGGTAAAGCTTAAAAAAAATGTTTCCAAGCTGGCATACTGTTAAAAAAAAGCTTATTTTAAGGAGTGGATTTAAGATGGTTAAAAGTGAAGAGTGTGTGAAAGGCAATTGAAACTATATAGGGATTTCAAAGAAACTCATCAAACCCCTTCGTGTGATGCACTAAGTTAATAACTACGATTAGGGCATAACCAGCGTAGATTACGTAAGCCTTCCAACACAATAACAAAGTTTATGATCTGATTTGCAAGGAGCATGTCAAGAAAGTTACATATTCTTTACTCACTTGTTTGGAACTGGTAAGTTACACATTATCGTATAGGCTGAGTTTTTACTTTCTGATAAACTTGAAATTGAAACACTCGTATTCAAACTTTTACGCTAATTCGCTAGCAGCAATGTAGCTCAGTCGACGTGATTTTTGCGCTTTTATTTACTTTAAAAAAGTGTAAAACAAGAAAAAGGTTTTGAAGTTATCGTTACTAATTTTGGTGACTGTATAAAAGGCTGAATCCAGAAGGCGACGAAGAAGCTTTAAAGATTCGATGATGTCAACAACCAGGGTTACTTAAAAAAAGTTTAAACTCGAAAAATTTGTTGAAGAAAAACAACAATTTAGATACGTAGCGCTTGCGCGAGAACTGAGTATTGAATCAGCAGTAACGCATCTCATACTAATTCACGACCAACTTTGTCTTTGTAAGTGTTATGAGATGAGAGGAGAAACTAATGAAATCTCGACAGCGTCACATTTTATGGTTTTGACACACTGTCAGATAAAATAAACAAATTATTCAACTGAATTTAGTATTTTTAAATTACTGTGATAAATTAATAACTTTAAATCACTCCTGTTTTTACCATTACCTATTATCATATTGTGTTTGTTATCTGTTTATTCAATACAAATTGTAAGTATATAATATTTCGTAATAGTTAGTGTTAGTGTATATTTAATTTCTTTATTACAGTCAGTATCCGTTCGCAAATTTTCCAGATTTAGCTAAATTAGAAATATTAAAATATACGAACAAACTACTAAATTAAAATTGTACGTATATTTTACTTTAGTGAATTGGAAAGAAATATAACAGAATCGAATTCGGAACGTGCCAATGAATGTGGCGAATTTTCTTACCAAAGGGCTGGCCAGTATAATGCCAATTCTGCTCAGAACCGCGGGCAGTCGCTGTGAACACATTATACACACAATTTGTTCACTCGTGACAGATGGTCTACCGGTGCTTTAAATATGTGAACACAGACTATATTGTTGTGGCCAAATATGAACAAAATTAAAAGGTTAACAAACAATAAAAGACAACAACGTAAATAGTTACGTTTGATACGCCGCATATATACAATCTTTGCAATGTTTTCTCATAATAAATATTATATATTCTCATATTATATATTATTTTAATTTAAAATGAAAAATAAAGATATGAATCAAAATGGCCACACCAAATAGTCATACATATATAAGTGATGTGATGTGATTGCTAGTGAAATATTATCGGAATTGAGTTGAGTGTTTCCTGATGTCCGTTGTGTTGTAGAAAAATGTAACATGAAAACATGCACATTTAGAAAACGAAAATGTAAACATGCTACATATTGAATATGTTAAAAAGGAGAAAAATTGATAGCATGCTACATATTGTGTGGTTTAAGAAAACATTGCAAAGAGTTTAAATACAAAATATTCACGATGAAAAATATAATTAATAATGTACTTTTAACGGTTTAATTTCGCGTTTAAAGATATGTGAACCAATGATTAACGGAGAAAAAGAATAGTTATCAGTCGTTTTGTAAAACTGATAACTGACTTTTTGATTTTTTTTTTTATTGATACTTATATATTTTTTTTTTTCTTTTATATATTTTTTTGGAAAGAATTAAAATTACTTAATTCTTTCCAATTAATAAAATTTTAAAATTTATTATTATCCTAATACCTTTGATTAGAATTCGGGATAGATTTCATGCTACACTTGTTATTAATAGATTAATTTATATGTTCTATTTGAAAAGAATAATAAAAGTTTACAAATTTTATACTAAAAGAATTAAAAAATTCTTAGTAAATGGTTGCACATATAAACTTGTTTTAAGTATTTGTTATGAAAATTATTTAGAAATCTTTATCATAAAAATTGATTAAGTATACGTTACAAAATAAAATGCGTATAGTACTTATATGTTCAGTTGAGGCAAATGGAATTAAAGCCGCAAAAGGGCTTTTTTTCCATTTGCCGACAAAGTGCATTATTATTGTAACATTCAAGGCCATAAAAGACAATAACATTATATCAAACACATCAATAATGTAAGCAACATGTAACGGTTTTGGGGAATTACCTGAGTGACAGGATTCTCGCCAGGTCTGTAAACAACGTTGTGAAGAGGTCGCTTCCTTCCAACGTAGTTGACACAGACAAACTCTAGAAGTGATGCATATATAAAGCACATGCAGACTCCATCCCACACGTTCATAGCTGTGAGGTTCGATACGACCGGCAGCGTCGATCGAAAACCATTGGACGTTGTAAAGAAGTTCAACATTGTCGTGACGCCTGTTCACAGAATAAATATTTTATAAATTAACAACAAACATGTCGCTAATCCCTTTAAATAATAAAAAAAAAACAAATCACCCCTAAATTTTTGTTATTAATTGGTTATCATTTATTACGAAATACTTTTAGTTAGTGTTGCCCAAATGCAAGAACAAGACCAGTCTTGGTTTTGGTCTTGCGCATATACACCTGGGTTTGGTATTGTCTTGCTTGTTTGTCTTTGGTGTTGTTTGTCTTTGGTATTGTTTTGGTCTTGGTCTTAGTCTTGCAGCAAGTCTCGCAATTACCCATTAGCCTATTGCTACTTATTAAACGTTACTTTAAATCTTAGAACAACTTAACAGAGTAGGTACATTTTGAGCTTGAATTAACATAGCCATAGCCAACCAAATTAATAATAAAAGTTTAATGAGAAATTCGATAAATCAATTGACATCGGATGGGGTTTGAACCTACGACCTAAGCGATCCGTGCCGATGCTCTAACCAACTGAGCTATCTACCGTGTCCCACGGCCACGGGAGTCAGTCTGTTTCGTTTTTACATTTAATAAGCTTACATGCGCTAAAACATGGTTAAAACATATAAAAAACAAATTAATGACATTAACTTGACTATATTTTAAAGAATATTATCTGTCTAGAAAAATATTGATAGACCCTCACCTTATATGAAATGGAATAAAAGAATAATACAATTTATACAATTAACCATTTATTTTATTATATTATTCGATCAGCATTGTAGAAAATTGTTACCCATTTCAAGTGTGTTAAAAGTGTCTACAATATTTATTATTTATCAAATGGAAGACGACATATTCTAGCACTTTGTGTTTTAAACATACATACTTCCAAAAAATCGAGATTTGTAGTGAACTTATTGAACATGTTTATCTATTAAGTAATAATAATAATAATAATAATAATAAAATGGCGTAGGGAAGTGACGACCCCATCGCCCGCTGACGAAACAGTTAAGTGACAAAACTGCTACGTCCGCGCAGTCAGTCAGCACCTTGCCAAGAGGTGTGAGCGCCGTGCCTCGGCAAAAATTGAAGGTGCAAGGGCCCGCTTGTGTACATGGCCTCACCATGAAACGGCCCCGGGTCTGGGCGTCTCCCGCTAAATGACGCCCACTATGGATGATGGAACATACGAAGAACGCGCAAAGGGCCGCTGCCTGGAGGTCGCCAGGGCGCGTCTGGAGCTGGCGCTGGACGCGGCAGCATGCGAACCGCCAGCCGAGCGCGAGGTGCTGCACGACCACCCAGCAGCCCCTCGCATCCATCATCCCCACCAGCTTGGCTTGGTGTCGGCAGGGTCTTCGCGGGCCCAGCAATCGGCACCCGCCTCTGGTGGAGTACGCCGCATGCGTTGGACCACCCAGATGAATCAGAACGCATTGCGGGCGTATTTTAGGGCGAAAGGGGGAGAAACTGGAGGTTTGGCGTATCGGGCTAGGATGCAGCGTCTTTTTGCTGAGCTGGAGCCATCTTTAACCGTCACAGAGCAAAACCTGGCAGACCGAGTTCGGTATATCTTGCGCGCAAATATATTTGATGGCGCCGAACTCGAACGGCTACGACGTGAGGCTGTTCCCTCGTCGGATGAGAACGCTACGGCTGAGGGTGCGGTGCCACAAATTGCAGAGCAACCCGCAAACGTGGATGCCGCCGTGAATACCCCAGTGTGGTTGCAGATTCAAATGATGATGGAACATTCGCCCAGGAACTGGAAATAGAGCATATGAGGAGTACATTGGAAGAGGCGATTGTGGAAACGCGCAGTACGCCTCTCGAAAATCGACCGCGACTTCCCCGCGCCCTGCAAGCGGAATCGGGCTGTCGTGAGGGCTCTGAACCCAATGCTGGTGACCTATTTGGAAGCCAGCCGGGACCTTTGCGAGACGGACTCAATTCTCTTTGGCGCCGCGCTGGCAGTCTGCCGTATTATAGGCGCCAAGGTTTCCACGGCTGGACGCGCTACTGGCCATAGTAGCGCTATCCCAGCATGGAGAACAAGAATTGAAGAACGTATCGCAAAGGCTAGAGCCCTCATCGGCAGACTGATATGCTTCAGGTCAGGCAACACCAGGCCAAGGATTGTGCGCACCGTCAGGATGGCGTTTGCTGGGACAAATGTCAATTTGTCCCAGCCGGATATAATGCAAAAACTGACGGAGCGCATAGACGATCCTGAAGCAGAGAATCGCTGCTTGGGGAAAACGATTCGGCGATATACCGAGAGGTCGACACGGTTCAACCAGAATCGTCTCTTCCAGAGTGATCAGAAGAGGCTCTATAAATCATTGGAGCGACCAATGGTAAGTGGAACGGGCCCAGCACCGAATCAGGCCGACACTGTCGCATTCTGGCGCGGCCTGTGGTCAGAGCCCGTAAACCACAGCGAGGGCCCTTGGACGGAAGTTGTGGCGAGTCAGTGTGCGGGTATTACGCCCATGGACCCCGTCACCATAACGCCGGATGACGTAGCTGAGGCGGTCCGTAGGGCCCCGAACTGGAAAAGTCCGGGGCTCGACGGGCTGCATCACTACTGGCTGAAGGGGTTCGTGGTGTGTCACTCTGTGCTCGCCCGACAGTTTCAAGAGGCTCTCAACCAGAAGTCGCTCCCGAGCCTCTTCACTACTGGGATCACCCATTTGGTTCCTAAAGGCCAGGGTACCACAGACCCGAGCAAATACCGCCCCATCACGTGTCTACCGACCATATACAAGACACTAACATCCATTTTGAGCGCGAGAATCACTCGTCACCTGGACTCAAATCAGGTGATGTCGCGCGCTCAAAATGGATGTCGGGGCGGCGGTCGTGGAACCAAGGAACCACTCCTCATTGACGCGGTCATTGGCAAAGTGGTGAAACGCAACCGTCGGAACTTCTCCGCCGCCTGGATAGACTACAGAAAGGCATTCGACTCGGTGCCCCATACATGGCTAAAGAGAGTCCTCGAGCTGTACAAGATAGACTGTACAGTTAGAGACTTCCTCGAGCAGTGTATGGGGCAGTGGAGTACGATCCTTTGTCATCTGGGCGAGCGGATGATGGCTGCGGAGAACCACATAAGGATAAGAAGGGGTATCTTCCAGGGCGATTGTCTGAGTCCAATATGGTTCTGCCTCTCTCTGAACCCTCTCAGTACCTTACTGGAGGGCTCCGGGAGGGGATTTCAGCTACGGAGAGGAGGGACAAAAGTGACCCACCTTTTCTATATGGATGACCTCAAGTTATTCGCTTCCAGTCGCTCCCATCTTATGGAATTGCTAAACATCACTTGTGAATTTAGCAATTCCATTGGAATGGAGCTTGGGACGGATAAGTGTGCGGTCCTCCATGTTGAGAGGGGAAGGGTTGCTAACTCTGAGGGCGTAGACTTATCTATGCCCGTCAACTTAAGGACCCTTTCCGAGGCTGAAACATACCGATACCTGGGTATGTCACAGAACATCGGTATCGATGAGGCTGGTATGAAACAGTCAGTTTGCGACGTGTTTTATGCACGCTTGACCAAAGTGCTTAACAGCCTTTTGTCCGGTGTGAATAAGGCACACGCATATAACGGCTGGGTCATGCCTGTCCTCATGTATACCTTTGGCATACTCAGGTGGACTCAGACTGAACTTAACGCCCTGGATAGAAAAGTCCGCACTACCATGACGTCCCATAGGATGCATCATCCGAGATCGTCGGTAATGAGGCTGTACTTGTCGCGGAAGCATGGTGGTCGTGGCTTCTTGAGCGCGCTCACCATGCATAATCGCGAAGTGTGCAGCCTCCGTGATTACTTCCTGGCGAGATCGGATGATCCATTCTATATGGACGTCATTTCTTGTGATAAAGGACTTACCCCTCTATCCTTAGCCAACGAGCAATGGCAAGACCCGGCAGTGCAGAGCATTTCCGACCGAGAGACCGTATGGAAGGAGAAGGAGCTCCACGGGAGGTTCTACAAGGCTCTACATGAGCCTTTCGTAGACACAGTAGCCTCTCTCCACTGGCTACGCTTTGGTGATCCTCTTCGGGGAAACCGAGGGTTTTGTCTGTGCAATACAGGATCAGGTTATTAAGACCAACAACTATCGGAGATACATCCTAAAGGATGGCACCGTCGACATCTGTCGAGCTTGTCGCCATCCCGGTGAGTCACTTAGGCATGTCATCTCCGGTTGTTCGGCGCTTTCTAACTCTGAGTACTTGCACAGGCACAACCTAGTAGCCAGAATTCTACACCAGGAGCTCGCTCTGAAATACGGTCTCGTGGACCGGAAGTTGCCGTACTACAAGTACTTGCCGGAAGCCGTGCTCGAAAATGATCGCGCCAGGCTCTATTGGGACCGGGCCATCATAACGGACAGGACTATTCTTGCGAATAAGCCTGATATTGTGCTGATGGACCGGGCACAGTCAAGGATATTTTTGGTCGACATTACCATTCCGTATGACGAGAACCTCGTGAAAGCCGAAACAGATAAGCAAACAAAATATCTGGACCTGGCTCACGAGGTGACCGACATGTGGGGTGGTCTGCCGACCGAAATTATTCCTGTAGTCGTCTCTGCAAACGGGCTAATCCCAGTCAGCCTCTCGGGTCATCTGAGGCGGCTGGGACTACGTGGCGGACCGCTCCAGGTTCAAATGCAGAAGGCGGTGCTCCTCGATACCGCCCGCATCGTCCGCCGGTTTCTTTCCCTTTCCCCCTAACCCTCGGCCGTTTGGTCTCCCCTGCCGAGGGCCTTCCATCTGGTTGGGCTTTTATTTATTTATGTATTTTTGCATTTATTTTATTTTATTGATATTTATGTATGTTTATCTTTTCATTTTAATTTATAATTATATATTTATAGATCCCAACCAGATGAGAAAACTATATAGATACCCCACATAATAATAATAATAAAAAGGCGTAGGGAAGTGACGACCCCATCGCCCGCTGACGAAACAGTTAAGTGACAAAACTGCTACGTCGGTGCAGTCAGTCAGCGCCTTGCCAAGAGGTGTGAGCGCCGTGCCTCGGCAGTACTCAGGGTGCAAAGGCCCGTTTGTGCTTACGGCCGTACAATGATACAATGAAACGGTGCCGGGCCTGGGCGTCTCCCGCTAATTGGCGTCCAAAAATGGATGATGGATAAGATTGGAAAACGTATAGGGCCGTTGCCTGGGGGGTCGCCGGGGCGCGTCTGGAGCTGGCGCTGGATGCGGCAGCATGCGGGCCGCCAGCCGAGCGCGAGGAGCTGCAAGATCACCTAACAGCCCCCCGCATCCATCATCCCCACCAGACGGCTTGATGTCGGCAGGGTCCTCTCGGACTCGGCAAGCGGCATCCGCCGCTGGTGGAGTGCGCCGCATGCGTTGGACAAGGGATATGAACGCAAACGCATTGCGGGCGTACTATAGGGCGAAAGGGGAAGAAACTGCGGGGATAGCGTATCGGGCTCGGATGCATTGCTTTTTTGCTGAGGGTTGGGGTGTCGAAAATATTCGATGATGAGTGGGTGTGGTGGGTCCGCCATGGATCTTCCAGTTGTGTGTGATTCAGACGATGATGAAATGGTCTCCCACGAACTAGAGCAAATGAGGAGTATATTGGAAGAGGCGATTTTGGAAACGCGCAGCATGCCTCTCGAAAATCGCCCGCGACTTCCCCGCATACCCCTAAGCAAGCGAAATCGGGCTGTCGTGAGGGCTCTTAACCCAATGCTGGTAACCTATTTGGAAGCCAGCCGGGACCTTTGCGAGACGGACTCAGTTCTTTTTGGCGCCGCAGTGGCAGCTTGCCGTATTATTGGCGCCAAACTTCCCATGGCTGGACGCGCTACTAAACAAAGTAGCGCCATCCCAGCCTGGAGAAAAAGAATTGAGGACCGTGTCGCAAAGGCAAGGACCCTTATCGGCAGACTGATAAGCTTCAGGTCGGGTAATAATAGACCGAGGGTTGTGCGCACCGTTAGAATAGCGTTTGCTGGGACAAATATCAGTTTGTCCCAGCCGGATATTACGCAGAAACTAACGGAGCGCATAGACGACCTGAAGCAAAAAGATTGCTGCTTGGGGGAAGCGGATTCGCCGATTTACCGAGAGTCAAGGCGGTTCAACCAGAATCGTCTCTTCCAGAGTGATCAGAAGAGGCTCTACAAATCATTGGAGCGACCAGAGGTATGTGGAGCGGGCCCAGGACCGGATCAGGCTAACACTGTCGCATTTTGGCGTGGCCTGTGGTCAGAGCCCGTAAACCACAGCGAGGGCCCTTGGACGGAAGTTGTGGCGAGTCAGTGTGCGAGTATTACGCCCATGGACCCCGTCATCATAACGCCGGATGACGTAGCTGAGGCGGTCCGTAGAGCCCCGAACTGGAAAAGTCCGGGACTCGACGGACTGCATCACTACTGGCTGAAGGGGTTCATGGTGTGTCACGCTGTGCTCGCCGTCAGTTTCAAGAGGCTCTCAACCACAAGTCGCTCCCTAGCCTCTTCACTACTGGGATCACTCATTTGGTTCCTAAAGACCAGGTTACCACAGACCCGAGCAGATACCGCTCCATTAGGTGTCTACCCACCATATATAAGACACTGACATCCATTTTGAGCGCGAGAATCACTAGTCACCTGGAGCTAAATCAGGTGATGTCACGCGCTCAAAATGGTGTCGGGGCGGTGGTCGTGGAACTAAGGAACCACTCCTCATTGACGCGGTCATTGGCAAAGTGGTGAAACGCAACCGTCGGAACTTCTCCGCCGCCTGGATAGACTACAGAAAGGCATTCGACTCGGTGCCCCATACATGGCTAAAGAGAGTCCTCGAGCTGTACAAGATAGACTGTACAGTGAGAGACTTCCTCGAGCAGTGTATGGGGCAGTGGAGTACGATCCTTTGTCATCTGGGTGAGCGGATGATGGTTGCGGAGAACCACATAAGGATAAGAAGGGGTATCTTCCAGGGCGATTGTCTGAGTCCAATCTGGTTCTGCCTCTCCCTGAATCCTCTCAGTACCTTACTGGAAGGATCCGGGAGAGGATTTCAGCTACGGAAAGGAGGGACAAAAGTGACCCACCTTTTCTATATGGAATGACCTTAAGTTATTCGCCTCCAGTCGCTCCCATCTTATGGAATTGCTAAAAATCACTTGTGAGTTTAGCAGTTCCATTGGAATGGAGCTGGGGACGGATAAGTGTGCGGTCCTCCATGTTGAGAGGGGAAGGGTTGCTAACTCTGAAGGCATAGATTTATCTATGCCCGTCAACTTAAGGACCCTTTCCGAGGCTGACACATACCGATACCTGGGTATGTCACAGAACATCGGTATCGATGAGGCTGGTGTGAAACAGTCAGTTTGCGACGTGTTTTATGCACGCTTGACCAAAGTGCTTAATAGCCTTTTGTCCGGTGTGAATAAGACACACGCATATAACGGTTGGGTCATGCCTGTCCTTTGGCATACTCAGGTGGACTCAGACTGAACTTAACGCCCTGGATAGAAAAGTCCGCACTACCATGACGTCCCATAGGATGCATCATCCGAGATCGTCGGTAATGAGGCTGTACTTGCCGCGAAAGCATGGTGGGCGTGGCTTTCTTGAGCGCGCTCACCATGCATAATCGTGAAGTGTGCAGCCTCCGTAATTACTTCCTGGCGAGATCGGATGATCCATTCTATAATGACGTCATTTCTAGTGATAAAGGGCTTACCCCTCTATCCTTGGCCAACGAGCAATGGAAGGACCCAGCAGTGCTTAGCATTTCCGACCGGGAGACCGTATGGAAGGAGAAGGAGCTCCACGGGAGGTACTACAGGGCTCTACATGAGCCCTTCGTAGATACAGTCGCCTCCCTCAACTGGCTACGTTTCGGTGACCTCTTCGGGGAAACCGAGGGTTTTGTCTGTGCAATACAGGATCAGGTTATTAAGACCAACAACTATCGGAGATACATCCTAAAGGATGGCACCGTCGACGTCTGTCGAGCTTGTCGCCATCCCGGGGAGTCACTTAGGCATGTCATCTCCGGTTGTTCGGCGCTTTCTAACTCTGAGTACTTGCACAGGCACAACCTAGTAGCCAGAATTCTACACCAGGAGCTCGCTCTGAAATACGGTCTCGTGGACCGGAAATTGCCGTGTTACAAGTACTTGCCGGAAGCCGTGCTCGAAAATGACCGCGCTAGGCTCTACTGGGACCGGGCCATCATCACAGACAGGACTATTCTTGCAAATAAGCCTGATATTGTGCTGATGGACCGGGCACAGTCAAGGATATTTTTGGTCGACATTGCCATTCCGTATGACGAGAACCTCGTGAAAGCCGAAACAGATAAGCGAACAAAATATCTGGACCTGGCTCACGAGGTGACCGACATGTGGGGTGGTTGGCCGACCGAAATTATTCCTGTAGTCGTCTCTGCGAATGGGCTAATCCCAGTCAGCCTCTCGGGTCATCTGAGGCGACTGGGGCTCCGTGACGGACCGCTCCGGGCTCAAATGCAGAAGGCAGTGGTCCTCGATACCGCCCGCATCGTCCGTCGGTTTCTTTCCCTTTCCCCCCTAACCCTCGGCCGTTTGGTCTCCCCTGCCGAGGGCTTCCATCTGGTTGGATCTTTATTTATTTGTGTATTTTTTGTATTTATTTTATTTTATTGATATTTATGTATATTTATCTTTTCATTTTAATTTATAATTATATATTTATAGAAACCAACCAGATGAGAAAACTATACAGATACCCCAAAAATAATAATAATAATAATAATAAGTAATTAATATAAACCCTTATAGTTAATATTATCAATACAATAATTACTTACTGGAATAAATTATTGAAATATCTACCTATCTTTACTATTATCTAATTACAATATTCCATGCGAGATCAGCATAATGTGTTCGTGTCCATTCTGAGCACCTGGAAACTTTATTTTATTTTATTCTTTGGAACATGTACTCTGTGGGCTCTCTCGCAGGCTTAGTCTTGTTCTTGCATGGTCAGTCATGGTCTTGGTCTCGCTAAAATTAGGCGGTCTTGGTCTTGCAAAAATGTAAGAACAAGACCAAGGCTTCAAGACCAAGACCGATTTTGGGCAATACTACTTCTAGTAAGTCTTTTTGTCGATCCATAAAATCTAATCTCGCATGCGTCTGCGATGATTAGAATAGAGAAGAATATTATAATAAATATTCTATTCTATTTTTGTTTTGTTACTCACTACTAAAAATATTTGTTGCTTTTACGTACATTTCATTAAGAAATGTTTGGTACAGTGTGTTTGTTAGGTTTGAAGTTTAAGCAGACTTATTAAATCATGCAAACATTCTCTAATAGCTCATTTGTCAAAAAATAAATCACCCTTAGTATAACTAAATTTTCAATTATTATTTCATTAATTTGATTTTATTCCTAACTATAAACTAATATATTGCCACATAAGATTAATTAACTAAAAGAAAGTATCTAAAAGTTTAGGCTTAATTAGAGAAGAATAATATGTCGTTTAGTAAGCACATTTCAGTAAGTTCTTGCTTATGTTAAGCTTAATTGAAATATATTTAATCATCACATTTTTAGCATGCTCGCAAATGCTCAGGAGTATAGTTATATCGTTTTTAAGTAGTTCATTAATTTCATTTAAGTATCTCATGCAAAACAGTTAATATTTCTACCTACTAGAACATAAAAGCTATACGAATTAACATTTATTAAGCGTGAACAAAATTAAAGAGGCCGTAACGTATTCGAAAAATGGTAAAATATTCCCAACTACTTACTCTTTACAATTATTGTATGGCGTATGGCTATTAATTACCAAAATACTCAATTAAAACGGGTTATTATATATTGCTGATTGATTAACATTAATTAATTAAGTTTTGTTTTCTCTGGGAATTGGCTTAAACCCATTTTAATGCGCAACAAAAAGTTACACCAACCTATCATTACTCTAGCAGGCACTGCATTCCATTCCAGCCAAAATGTAATAAACGATGACGTCACCAAAATTATTCCAGGAATGAAAACTGTGGTGAAGTAAAATGATCTATCTCGTGTGAAGATGAGATCCACCCTTAGGCAGCTGTAATTACCTAGAAATATTAAGCATAATCTAAACATAACGTGTACATTGATAAAAACTACAGTGTGTGTTACAATCGTTGGCAGTAAGATACTTTGTATCGATTTCCAACCAAAAAGCGGAGGTACCCTGCAAAACGAAAGATCTAGCGTGGTATATTAACAGCCCCAGCCACATCTACAGAGAGAGAAAGGATGCGAAATGCAAGACCGAGAACATTCCGATCACCAGCCATTTTACCTATCATGGAACGGGCTGGCACTGCGTTCCATTCCAGCCAGAATGTGATGAATGAGGAGGTCACCAGAATAATTCCAGGAATAAATACTGTCGTAAAGTAGAACGCTCGGTCTCTGGTAAAAATTAGATCCACCTTTAGACAGCTGTAGTTACCTGTGAAGTTACAATTTTTGGTAAATTTGGCAAACTTGCCAATATTGATGCTGTATAAACTACTTGATAGTTATAAATTTTAGAGTAATTGTAAAACATAAATTAGATCGAAAATTAGATATTAAACAATGGACTAATTCCAAGTAACTCCGTTCAGTGGCCTTGTAAAACGGAAAGTTATTATTTACAAAAAACTACACACAAACTAATGTAACATATTGCCATAATTCCGTATGTAAGAGTAACGCGTGTTGTGTTTCTAGTATCTCAGGGCGTATACTCCAAAGTGTCAATAATATATTTTGTTAAACAATTAGACAAACTAACGTATACCACGTGCAATGATACAAATCGTGCATAGAAATCACTAAGACAGATGATAGTTTATTAAACATAAATTTGAATGTCCATGGGTGTGAAAATAATGGAACAGCACTGGTACATACTGAAGTATAATCTTTTTGCCAGTTTTTAAACGCTATTTAATTGTATTTCACACAACAGCGCATTTACTCACACATAAGCGGTGAAAATATTTTTTTTTAAAACTTCATCATTGGGCATAATTGTCTTTTGTCCAATGCTGTTCAAGTACCTTGCTCCTCAAAGCGTCTCTGGCAAAGATTACATGTCAGCTCTTCATCGTCCTCGTAAAGTGAAATACCGTCAGCTGCTTGCAAGAACGTTAACAGACTCTTACATTCTATTCTACATTATTTTGTTAACGATTAAATAGCAACAAGTTACGTTTAGAAGTGAGTAAATGAGAATGTTGCTACCATGCGGATGAAAGTAACATAACCCAATACTCGCTTAGCTGTTCTAATTCTTAAATCATCATATTAATGTAAAGCCACTAAACGAATATAAATATTAATAACACACTGCTACTTTCACTATCTAGTAAAACAAGTAATGATGTTAAACGAATCAACCTGTGACACAAATCAAGACCAAGCTGAAAAGAGTTAATCAGAATGTCTAGAGTAATAAAGTAATCCTATTTGCTCCTTTCGTGTGCAATGTATAACTTTGTGCTTATAAACAAAAGAAAAGGTTATGGGGTGATTATTCTATGAAACTCAGAGAAAGTATGTTTGGATGTGTATCAAAACCAAAGAAATTAAATCTGAAAATGTGTCTTAAGCAGTTATATTTATTGTAGAAGCATAAGAGAAACAACTGTTACCTCTCCAGCTCGCCTTAATAGGGCAGGGTATGGTTTGGTTCTGGATGAGATACGCGTTAAGGGTGGTAAGTGAAGGCGATTTTCGGAGAGTCGCTTCGTCATTCTTCCAAACGTAGGTAATGGCGGACTGCTCGTACGATACTGTTGAATTAAACCGAAGCAACATTAAAACTGATAAGTAATTTCTTTGTGTTTCAACAAGAAATAAGCTTAGTATTTTTTTATTAGTCCGAACAAAATGTTTATGCTTAGAAAATAATTTCTATTCTATACGTATTTTAAGAAATGAAGAACTTTTAATGAATGATGTGATCTTAAAAAAGATGTATGAAAAACTTAAGTAAGTAAGTAACTTAAGATATCCGGGCGAAGTTTAATCCATGCAAACGTATTCCTCTGTTTCCTCCCTGGATGAGAACACTAAACCAAATATTTTCTAGCGATAAAATCTTAACCCACCACCGCCATGTTCCTTTGCATTTTTCCATAAACTAATTAATTTATAAACTAAATACCGTATAAATACCGTGTAGTGGCGGTGTAAGAATATCTACTACCCCATGTCGTCCTGTTGGCATCAAGCTGTTTAGGCTACATACATAGATAAATACATACATAGGTACATTAATACACTCAAAGAACGTAATCTGAATGCGCCAGGATGGTGAAAACTAAGAATCTCATAAAATTACTAATACTACCCCGTAATTCCGTCGTAATTAAACACTTATACAAACCAAAAAAATTTAACATACATGAAATAAAATAAAACATACAGAAATAGCCACAGTTCTTCTAATATCGCTCTTGAAAGAAATATGAAAATCGTTTCAAATTCACTTTTAAAGGAAAAAATAGAGGAATACGTGTGATGATTTTATCAATGTTCATAGCTATGACCAGTTCGAGCTGCAGTTGTCTCACAAGGTTGTGCAATTTGTTCGTTCGGGCACATCGCTACAGCAAAAGATTACTAAAAACCTATTCTTCAAGTTTCAACTAGTCCAGATATCCTTTTGATACAGTAGTATAACCTAGTCAGTTGCACGCCCCAAAGGCGTGGAAGATGTTTAATATCCGTTTTAGAGTAAGGTGTTAACCGCTCTTCCGTGTCACAGACAAATACGTCGTTGGTTCTCTTCACCATCATCATCATCATTACATCTGTCCACTGTTGAAATATGGCCTCCCACATAGATCGTCTCATGGGGGGACATTTTTTTATACGTGGTAGAGCCATGCTGCAGTTATATTAGTAGTATAGTTGTAGCTCGAATGGGTCGGCTCGACCGGGGAAGGACCACGCTCTCACAGAATACCAGCGTCAAATAGTAGCTTAATGCTGCTGTGTTTCGTATGGTGAGTGTAGAGAACCGGAGACCCTTTTTACTGGAAACGAGGCATTCCATCTTAGTCCTCACGGGTGACAACGCATCTGCATTTTGATTCGTAATCGAGGATAGATGTGGATGTCTATGGACCACAGCAACCACTTACCATCAGGTGGACTGTGTGCTCGTTTGTCACCCTATCCTATAAAAAAAAGATAAGCCTCGCTTGGCCAGTGAGTTGGTAATCACGGTAATTTATTTGAACTGCTAATAAGATGTCGCCTCTAAACATATCCACGGAATGATAAGTGCTAGTGAATTATTTATACCGCCACTACACGGCAGATTATATTAAATCATTATTATTTTTATCTATAAGTGAAAATTCAAATGTATAAAGCGCTACGCTTCATTTAATACTTAATTTATATGTTAACGTCATCGTTCTAAATATTTTAAATGAAATAAAATTTCGATGACAACGGTCTAATTGAATGGGAAAATCTTAAACTAATAAATTGAGCAAAGTTAAATCATTTTGTAACAATAACATTATTTTCTATGAAATAATTGAAAATATGACTAATTTTACTCACTACTTTCTAAAGCAAATGAACACAATGGGTCGTCAAAAGGAAATATGTTGAGCCGTCCCTGACAGGACAAGATTAGATGTCGTCGCATTAAATAGTTGATTGTGCCATTGCGATAAATGCGCAATGCAAAATGCATTGGTATTATTGGATCCTGAAATGCAACAAAATATCGTGATGAAACACACATTAATGAACCTTAACTATGTTAATCGTTTCCTAACATAATGATTTAAGAAAACAATAATTATTTTTTACTATAAAGTGCATATTAACTAAATAACTATATAACTCTAAATTATTTAAACACGCTATAAGTTAATAGTATCTAACCTTGAAGTCACCGTGCATTATAAAGTATGTATCAGGCAACCAGATGTCTTCGTGGTGATGGATGGCATTTAAATAGTCGTAGTGAGATTGATTAGAGTAGCGCAACCTGGGATCATACCACTGTTGTTGAAGAAGAAACTCCACTTCGTATTTCTGTAAATATGAATAATTTATGATAGCGAAATTACTATAACAACAAACACGTAACAAATAAAGCATAGAAGAAGAAATTTTACAAAAAAAAAAAGAAAGATGAGACGAATAGATAATAGAAAACAAAATAACTTACAAGACTAGATTCGTCTGGAGATGCTAAACTAAGAAGTAGCACGCTAACATTTACGGTGAGGACACCTGAAAATTAATATGGACATATAATGGTGAGGTAATTTTATGTGTTATGCCGTCTTTTAATTGATGATTTACAAATTCAAGAGAAGAGATTGAATGCAAAAACGCTGAAAGAAATGCTTGCTTAAAAGGAAATAGATTATACTCAGCAGACAACATTCAGAAACAGCTAATTTGTATTCATGCTTTTTAAAACTGGTGGATAATCAACAAAAAGTCCGTTTAAATCTGATTTAAAAGAGTATTAAAATTAATGTAAACAAGTAAAATGGTAAATAACTGGAAAATATGATATCGCGTATTTATTTACGTTGATACTAAATTTGTGTTCTTTGTTTATGAAAAGAGAAAATCAAATGTAATTATAAAGCATTTTAAAAGAAACACAAACTCGTTTTAATTATGGAATATAACGTTTTGAAATTAACGTATAAATATATCGTTATTATGTCAAATATATCGGTATAAAATATGTCGTTATTTTAATCAAATAATAAGCATTAATTTAGTTATAAAAATAAAATGATAAATGTGCTTCAGCTACATACAACATCAAAAGAGGTGCTCACATAAACATATAGTGATTGTGATCAAATGCAGATGTTATCTAAAGCGTAGTTACAACAGTAATTGTGGTGAGACACAATTTCATATTTGCGATCTGGATTCGCGTGCAGTAAAAGTTGCAGTGAAGATATTACTACGATACTACGAAAATTTCTCTTTTCAGAAACATAAAACACAACACACCGCGATTGTGTGACCGCGGCCGGAGCGATGATAGTCCGATCTTATCAATCGTAAGACTGTCGTTGGGCGAAGTTAGACCACAACAAAACTCTGGATCTGCAATATTACACCCCATGTTTATATACGGTCGCCTTTAAAGTCATTCATCCCCGGCATCATTAAATGGTTACTGAAAGTTTTTACTTGTCAAAGAAATAAAAAAAAAACATTGAAACCTATTCTCTGTAAATCAATATTTTTTTAATATAAGTTAAATAATACCTTATTCCAAAAACTCTGACAGAAGTGAGAGCCTGCTATTTTTAAATAATGGTGAAATTTTTATTTACCGTCTACAGGTGGAAGCAGTCTTTTGTCATAGCGGGAGTTTTTGAGAAGGTTGTCCAATATCTCTTTGTCCGACTTTCCCGTTGCGAAACTGGAAAAAAAAAATTACAAGAACATAAAATATCAAAAAAATATAATAGGTTTCTTTTTCATCAACTCGTAGAAGCCTTTCGTTGGAGGGAGGTTTTGTCATACCGTCTTGCTCCAATCCTTTGCCAGAACTTTATGTCTGGCGTGACCAGGGCAGTTGTTTTGCCAATTATGAAGGCATGAGATCGTTCTGGCATTTCCCTTAGTGGCTTCTTACAATACCAACGGAACGAAATGAGGTTGTTGATTTTTTAATGCATCGACGACATGGTACTTCGTTATTCTAATTATTTTTAATTCAATTTCTGTCAATCAAAATCCTCTATCCTGAAATTATCATATGTATACTTACATTGTTTTTAATATATATTTTGATACTTGACATAGTATAGCTGTGAACCCCTCAGTAAGATGGGGTATGCGGAGCCCCGTACTTTACTTTTGGATAAGAACATGCTAATTACTCTAAGTTATATTTACCTTCATTTAAAAAAATATTGTCTTTGGCCACACTTTGGTTTGACCATAGGTTTGACTAATTAATTGGTTTAATAAACTGACATTGCGTTAGTGGTTAAGAAACTATTTTCTTTAAATTAATTACACTCTAGTAAACATTGCTTAGTATCTTGCAGTATGAAAGGGTGAAAAAAGAAGGGGTAGAACAAATGCATGGACGATCAACTTTAATAAAAAAGATTGACGTGGGATCTGATCGTATTTAATATATTTTGTATGTTTTTTAAATAAATATCTAATTTACAACCAGTTGCAGCTCATTGCTGTTGGATACATTTAGGTGTATTATATTTATTCGTAATATGGGTAATGCCAGAAGAAACACCTGTTTGCACCACGAATAAATCGAATACTTCAGTTACACATACAACAAATGTTCAGAAAGTTTAAACTACTAACGCCTAGTAGCCGGATAAAATATTTTTATATTTTTTACAGAATAGGGGTGACAAACGAAAACCTATTCACTCCGGTGGTAAGTCGATGCAGTGGCCCATAGGCATCTAAATTTTATCCTCAATTTAGAATCAAAATGCAGATGCACCCTGGAGGACCAAGATAAAAAGCCTCGTTTCCAGTTAAAGGGATATGATAGTATGCGTCTTGTTACCAGGATATTTATCATTTCGTAAGGATTCCAATAATTTATCCGAAATCATACACAGAAATATTGATTATATATAGTAGGTACTATTTGATACCCGCTCGCTTCACTGGGCGCACGATAATATTTTATTGCGGAAATTAGATGTAGAATTTATCAAGATTTTTTGATAGGACTAATGTAAAATCCGTTCTTAGTGAGCGTCTACATTGCTAGATGAGTAACTTTACTAAATTTCAAGTCAATTGGGTGTATAGTTTTAAAGATATCGTACTGAGTCATATTGTTAAGAGCTTCGGTTTCGTGACGATAAAAACCGCCAATTGAATTACCAAAATTGACATTTTAATTACCCAACACCAATTAAAACTTAAAACACACTTATAATTAATCACACTTAAGATTTTAGTTCGCTGGTATATCGCTTCGAAGTCTTCGCTTGTGACACCAATTCAATACTGCCTCAGTCGCGGTCCCTAACGCCTTTATACTATAGGACCGTTTCCACTGAAACATCCCGAATGTTCGAGCACATACCGGTCCCAGCCGACTAAGTGTACAAATTTCTCTTTTAGTTCTGCCACTCGATACTAGATGGCGCTAGTGGGAAAGTTCTAGCATGGCTTTTTCTAGAAAGCGCTTCTAATGCCTGCTACTCCATATTAGATGGCACTAGTGGCATTCACCGGCATCATCTATGGCGTGGAACACTGCCCCCTCCTAAGACATGCTCGTCCCGAGCATTATCGGCCCCATAATAACGCGCCAGTCGATCCACATGAACGATCTTAGGAGTATCTCTTGCACCTTTCTAAAACGGCTACGCGACGTCAAGGGCTATTCTCTCTCATGGTGCACCATCATTGTACAGCTTCAATGCACCTCTACAAGTCTGAGGCCCCTTCACAGCCGCACAACTTATACATTTGCGACAACAATCCCCGACATCGTCACTACAATGAACCCAGTAAAACCGTTCTCGAATTTTCAATAGAGTTCGTTTAACTCAAAGACGGACTCCTGAACAACCATTATGGCACAGCTGAAGAACATCCCGTACTTTAGCTTTAGGGACAACCATTTGCAATTGACAGCTGTCTCCTCGATCATTTTCCCATTTACGGCACAGAACTCCATTCTGAATCAGCAATCTATCCCATTGGGCTCAATAGCTTTTCGTGGTTGTGCTCATCGCTGAGACGTCGCTCCATTTGGGCTTGGGAGCACAGGCCTTCATCCATTCCAGAATCAGCTTGATGTCCAGATCTTCCTGCTGTGCATGTCGTAAGCTGTCCTTCCACTCGTTGCTGAGGTGATCTGTCCTGAGCATCCTCACAGATACCACTTCCTTACCCTCTTGTCTAGTACAATGCTTGCAATCTTCAGGACAAGGTCTTCGTGACAATGCATCAGCATTGCCATGAGATTTCCCGCTGCGATGTTCGATCATAAAGTCGTATTCCTGCTGCTGGGTAGTGCTGTTCACCGCACAACCCTCTAGAGATCGATCACTTTCCCTTTTTACAGTTCGCTTAGGGCAGCTGGATCGAAGATGGCCCCTTTTCCCACAGCCGTAGCACCTTGGGCGGTAACTTCTATTGCGGTCGCTAACTGTAGCCGCAACCTCCCTAACGTGAGGGGAACGATGATCCTGCCGCTGCTGGGTGGTGCCGTTAGCAGCACTACCCCCCTCGAGATGGATCACCTTCCATTTCTACAGTTCGCTTAGGGTAGCTGGATCGAAGATGGCCCCTTTGCCCTCAGCCATAGCACCTAGGGCTGTATCCTTTATTGCAGTCGCGAACTGTAGTTTCTGCAACCTCCCTGATGCGATGCCTGCCGCAAGGCGACCACCTCCAGTGCATGAGCCAAGCCTCTCTTAAGCGTCACGTAGTGCCCGAGCCTTACAGTAGCTCTGAGTTCAAGGTCGTGGATGTCGTCGATGAATGTCTGCACCAGATTCCCTTCAATAAGCGCGAGTGCAGACCGGTATGCTTTTCGAAACAGTTTCTCCACCTCAAGAGCCCACTGCTGCAGGTTTTCATTGATGCGTTGCGTGCGATGATATTTCGATATTTTTCTCGTCCCGTTCATACCACGTCCCCGTTCCGTCCGTGCATCCGTAACGTATGCATTATCACGTACATTTTCTATGAAACGATATTTACAAAATGTCACGTCCCGCTCCGTCCAGAATAAAACACGTTACGTGTGCAGCGACCTGAATACTTGAAAATCTATGGTTGTAATTACACGATTACATTACGAAAAGAGAATATAATCCTCACGTTTCATCATTATCATCATTACTAGAAGTCCACTGCTGAACACAGTCCTCCCCCAAGGAATGCCACAAAGCACGGTCCTGAGCCACCTGAATCCATCGACTTTCTGCATGTCTTACCAGGTCGTCACATCATCTAGTGGGGGTTCGCCCTACACTATGCCTCCCGGTACGAGGCTGCCACTCGAGAACCTTTTTTCCCCATCGGTTGTCGGTTCTTCGAGCCATATGACCGGGCCATTGCCACTTCAGATTACTAATCCATTGGGCTATGTCGATCACTCTGGTTCTACTGCGGATATCCCCATTTCTAAGTTTATCACGCAGAGAAACTCCGAGCATAGCTTTTTCCACAGCTGAGCGACCTTGAGCGTCCTTATACGGCCAGCAGTAAAGGACCACGTCTCAGATCCATAAATTATCACTGGCAACACGCACTGTTTGTACAATATACTCGTAGTTTTCAGGTTACCTGATGAGAAGATGTGTCGTAGTTTCCTGTACGTCACCCAGCCGAGTTGAATCACCACGTTCAACAATACGCAAATGATCTTAACAAAATGCCTTATGATTGTCATGCTATGGCATATATAAACATAACATTTTTGAAGAATCCGGTAAATTAAAGTTAAATATTAATTGAACAAGCTAAAAAAATATAAAAACATATAGAAAAAAAACTTTACTGTAAATTCACATACAGGAATATTGTAACCATCTGGTTACACAAGAATGTACGAGAGATTTATTTCTTAGCAACTCTTTTAGGTTTTACTTGCGTAGACCTGGTATCCTTTCCCGCACTTGCAACAACCATCACATCATATGAAGCCTGCATCACCAAATTGGAGCTCGGGATAACATCCATGTCTAGTCTGGAGCGGACACAGTGTCTGGTCTAGACCTGATACCAATATAGTGCCACCCTTCGTCCAGCACTTTGAAACTGCGAACCGTTTGCGCGCTTCTTCTTGATATCAAGGATGTCGACTTTTTGTGAGGAGTTCCGACAAGGTGATTTCAGTACCCTTAAGATTCTTCTTTGTCAGCCATACTTGGTCTTTCGTCGCAATGTCTTGGAACTTCATAAGAATAGCACGGGGCCTGTCAGTGCCAGCTTGACCCAGACGGTGAGACCGGCTAATGGGAGGGATTTTTAAATAGTCTGACAATACCTTTACAGGACAGGCGGATGTGTTCTCATACTTGTCTTCATTTACACCATGCACCAGCAGAATTTATATCCGAGACCTCATCTCCATATCATCATTCCGACGCGACAACAGTTCTACTTGTAATTGCAAGTTTTTAAGCGCAGTTAGAACAAAGGAACGAAATGTGTTAAATGGATTGATATTTGAAGTAGGGCTCGTAGCTGGAATTGCGCTATTAAGGCCCTTTTGGAACTTAGCCATCCTCAAGTTGAAGTGCTCAGTGAGGTCCGCAACAGATTTCTTAATGGACTCTTAACTTTTAGGTTCTGGTGAGCAATGCTAACAACATGGTAGCAATGTTCACTAGTTACTCGGGATTGTATAATCAGACTAAACTGACAGGAGTTTGGATATCACAGATACATTAGTTTTGTACTATA